ATTTATATGAGTTTCAAATGTGTGTCTTTTTTGGGGGGGGGGGGGGGGGTCTGGTCGTGGGGCCTGAACTCTGGGCCTGGGCACTGTCCCTCAGCTCTTCAGCTCAAAGCTAGCACTCTACCACTTGAGCCATAGCACCACTTCCAGCTTTTTTTTTTTTCTGCTTATGTGGTGCTGAGGAATAGAACCCAGGACCTCATGCATGCAAGGCAAGCGCTCTACCACTGAGCCACCTTCCCAGCCCCAAATGTGTGTATTTTAAAAATTGCTAACAAGCATACAATAACTTGTCTTTGAGGAAAATTCTCATTATTTAGAAGAGCCTGACATAAAAGATGTAAATGAATTAAGAATTGTTTTTTCCAAAATAGTCTAAAATAAAATATTCATTTTCATTTATTAAAATGGAAAGCTTAAGAGAAGGCAACTATAGATGAAATTAAATTATTTTATAAGTGTAAGTCAATTTTTAATATATATTTGCTTGAATGTAGCTCTGAGACAACTTTACATTTATTATAGATGATATCTAAATTAACTATGAGGTCCAATCTATGCTTGCTATATTGAACTTAGATTCAATATATGTTTGGAGATGAATAAATGGTAAAGCATCAATTTTAAAGATTAATGATTTAGAAGAAATATGATGAAAATTTAATATAAATATTTTAAAAGGCAGATGAAAAATTAATACATTTAAAAACTTGATAAATCTATTTCTAGCATGTTAGATTCAGTGATAACTCATAATTAAGAGTGCTATAAGATATCACAATATTTTGCAAATGTAAAGAAGCAACATTTTTATTTAGTTTTATATTTTCTGTTTGTCTTTTCTTTTTTCTTTTCTTTTGCCAGTCCTGGAGTTTGAAATAAGGGCCTGGGCACTGTCCCTGAGCTTCTTTGCTTAAGGCTAGCACTCCACCACTTGAGCCACTGGGCTACTTCCAGCTTTTTCTGTTTGTGTTGTCCTGAGGAATCGAACCCAGGACTTCATGCATGCTAGGCGAACCCTCTATCACTAAGCAACCTTCCCAGCCCCGTTTGTCTTGTTTTGAAGCTGAATTTCTGTATTAGAGCTCAAATTCTCCTCAACCTCATGATCCTCTTGCAGCCGCATCTCTCTGGAATCATGAAGCACTAAGTTTTGCTGTTTGGGTTAGCTTTGAGATGGAAGTTACCATAAAACACTTAACTTTAGACATTGCCTTACTTTATTGAATACTATTTTCCTAACATTTCAGGTGGTATATAGCTCTGTTTAACATAAACTCTGTACTTGTTTTGGGGAAGTAATTAAAATCTTATCAGTTTTGTTGACTTCAGAGAATAAAATTTCAACCCCAGATATGAGTCATTTGTGTAGAATTTTGTTTGAATCAAATTATTGAAAAATTACGAAATGGAAAGATTTGGGAAAAAATATATTAAGCAAAGTACGCCAAACCCAAAAAACCATAAGTTTTCCCTCACTTGTGGTAATTAGACAGTGCCTATAAATCTACAAGTAAACACAATGGACAGTAAAAGACAAAACATTACACTTGGATGTAATAAAGAGGACTCTAAACATTCATGCAGCGAGACCAGAGGAGGTTGTATTTTTTAATTTTTTAAATTTTTATTTTGTCTATCATGGGGCTTGAACTCTGGGTCTAGGTGCTGTCCCTGAGCTCTTCAGGTGGTTTATTGTTGGTAAGAGTCTCATGGACTTTCCTTCCAGGCTAGCTTTGAACCACAATCCTCAGATCTCAGCCTCCTCAGTAGCTAGGATTACAGGTGTGAGCCACCGATGCCCAGCCAAAGAAGGGTATTCTTAGGAGAGGCTCACAAGGGCTCAGTAGCTATTTGCATGTGATCATATAAAAAGATGCTTATTAAAATGAACTCTAAGAAATGGAAACAAGTTTTTTTTTAATTTTAACTTTATGATTTGTTTTTGGTTTTGTTTGTTTTTTCCTTTTGTCACTGGTTTTGAGTTTTGTACTTTTTGTCTTGTATGTAAATATATCTGTTTGGGAGAGGGTAAGGGGAAACCCAGAAATACTGGGACAAAGGGTGAACTAATTCAGCAACAATACTCCCTAGACATTACAATGAAAATGAACCAAACAACTTAGGGGATAAGGGGCTTGAGAGGGAAAAAATTGGAAAAAATGAGGGAAGAAATGACACTGTTCGAAAAGAAATGTACTATACTCATTACGTGACCTGTGTAACTGTAACCCTTCTGTACATCACCTTTACAATAAAATAAGTTAAAATTATTTAAAAATATTTTTTCAGATATATATCAAAGAAAGTTGTAGAAATATTTTATGGACTGAAAGACTATTTTACACTCTATAGAGCATAGCATTAACTGACCTAGAATGGAATGATTAAGAAATAACTTAGTGCACACACATACTGTATTGCTTTCAATCATGATGCTTCACCCCTTCAGTCTAAGAGTGTATTCTTCTTATATTATATTGCTTATATGAGGGTAAGGAGTTCAGTGTTGCATGTCCACACTTTTATATTGTATTGCAATTAACCTCATCCTCTCAATCACTCTCCCTGTATCTGTGTGTTTTTGTCTTTCCCTAAGACTGTAGAGAGGAGAAAATGTTACAAGATAGACAGGTAACTATTTTCTATGCTTAGATGTATTTGGAATTATTTTTAAAGCAAGATAGCATATAAATTTACAAGTAAATCAAGTAATTATACATTTTTGTGCAGATTGTCAAAATGCAGCCAATGATACATATTTTTTTAAAACCTTGGTGCTTAGTAAAACATGAACTTGGTCATTTCATAAATCTAAAACTCATTTATACACACACATATATATATATATATATATATATATATATATATATATATATAAGTTAGTAACTAACAGGACAACAGAGCACTAGACTACAGTGCACATGAGCTTTCTTTCAGCACACCATTGCATTCTTATACTGGACACGGAAGAAGCTGCATGAAATGCATTAAAGCAATTCCATCTCATTCATATCGTTCCACAAATAACTCTTAAATCTCTTGTTATCTTTATAAAGCTCTAGGACTCAGTGATAATAAGTACGAGAGCAATGCCTTTAGCCACGTATTCTCCTGTCATGCATGCACCCACACAAACAGCACAGGAGGCAGCAACCAGGACATGGTGTACTAGCAATTAGCACAGAGCACGCTACGACAGTGAGAGGTGGGGAAATCTGATGCAAGAGTAAGCTTGGATCCTTTCTCAGGAAACAAAATCCCCTCTAACTCCATAATAGAAATCAAGTCAAGTGCCAAAGACTGTATATAACTCTCAAGTCTATGCTGGACCAAGTTACTAATAATGATAATAGTAATAATAATAATAAACAACTTTCCTAAGAATACTATTTGCATATGCAAGATCTCTTATTGTAACATTCTATGAAGCAGTCTCATCTCTTTGCCTATTCTGTCAAATTAGAACATTGAGTAAATGTTAAGTAACCAGTACCCATGAAAATAAAAAACATACTGCTTCAATTTAGGTTTATTATTTCAGGTGGATTTAAAGATTTAGCTTGCTAAGATTGCTTCTTAGCAAAATACATAGTTTAAGTGAAGGATAAACTTGGCCAACTCAGAGAGTTGTTAGTTTGAGGAAAACTAGTTTTCAAAAAGAAAAATAATATCCTCAATTTTCCCAGTTCTCAGAATACTTGAGAAAATAAATGGGATTTCCACACTTTCTCATAAATGTGTTTGCATTATCTTATTACTACTTTTAAAAGGAATTAATTGATTTGCCCTGAGACAAGGCTAACATTTTATCAGTGATTTTCTTTTAAAGTCAAAACTGATAGAAGATATCTTTTTGATTGCATTGTTCACTAACTGTTCAGTTACTGGAGACATGAATTGTTTTGGTCTTCATAATAGATTTTTATACACACAGCCTCTACTATGTAGTCTAATATGCACATGTATATGTATGTATATAAATATAAATTACAAACTATGTACATAATTATGTAAATTCCATGCAATTAAAAATTTACAGTCAAGATTGTCAAGTAAACATGAATAGATAATGATGTTATTTATTTTCAGGGACATAAAGAGAGATACTGAAAAGTAGTGTGTAATTTTCTTTAACAAAAGAAAATAATTAATTCCATATTCTCCAAGAAATTGATATGTACTTTAAACTTACACGAGGTATAGATAACATGCTATGAAGTTGAGTTTGCTACAATGTTAACATTATGTTGTCTTGGAAGCTATTCTGAAATTTACCCCAGAAATGTTAGCTCAATAAATGGTACTATTTGTATATGGTTTTCCAGACCAAGACCTTGGCTTTGGTAGATTTATATTTAATTATTGCATGTTATATTAAAAGTGCCCAATCAAACCACCTGGAGACAAATACTCTACCCTTAATCGCCTTCACAATATTTATGCATTGTACTTAGACATAGGTCCTTGTAATCATTCTTCATTACAAAAATTCTAAAGATGCTGCTATCAAATTGCTCAATTTACTATAAATAATCTCAGCATAAAGAATGGAGTGTAAAAATACTAGATTAAAGACAAGACCCTGCATGAAGAATTTTAACTATATTTAACTTGCATCTGATTTTTAATAATTATCTAAATGAGTTTCACATTTATTTTGAAGCTAATATTGTCCCAAATATATGACTCTTTCTCTTTTCTTGGTTATGATGAAAGTATAGGCTATTTCCCTTACATACATACGTATATACATATTAAATTATTTTTAAAAATCAAATGGCTGTGCTTATAAAATGATGATATCTAAATATCCATTTACTGAGTGAAGGCACACTGTAGAGTTCTTAGAAAAGAAGGGCATCTTTAACTGCAGAGATATGACATTTGCATATGAAGGAGCTATGTTTCCCCACCAAACACTGACTCAGTGCAGAATATGCTGTCTGATATTTTTACTGATGATCGCATTCCTCCTTTTAGAGTTAAGAAAGTCAATTTACCGTGTCTGAGAAACGGTAAAACTTCTCCAATGCAAAAGCTTCTGTCTGTGGGGAGGTAAAGCGAACCAAGAGGAATTGAGAAACCAAAGAATCAAGTCATATATGTTGAAATATAATTACACAATCTATTTTAATCACATTTACCATTTCAGCATACATACGTATCAGTTAATAGAGGTTCATGCATGTAAAATAGCTACTCCCAAAGTGTGAGTCAAATTTGAAAATAACTGGCTCTTTTTATAAATTACTTATAGAAAAAAGTATTTTCTTTCTTAATATTTCAAATAATAGAGCTATTACTATGTCTACAATTCCATATTTCTCTAGAATAGCAATTCTGGTGAGAAATATTCTTTCATCTTTTTGTGAGTTACCGTAAGGATCACCATTTTTTTATATCTTACTCTTATATGTCACAAAATTGAGTAAAGAGATGGTTTCATAAAAAACTAATGTTTTTAAAGGAGGGACCAGAATTAAGCCTCTGTATGTGTGATCCATTACTTTATCCGTTGTATGATCTGACCGGTGGTTATAGAAGATGTATGGCATTTCCCCATTAGGCACCATGTACATGACACTTCTCATGACTAGTGTTTGCAGCACATGGTTGATACATTTTTAAATGAAGAGAGAGAAGGAAGATGATGAACTAAAAATGCACAATCAAATCATGTTGACAAGGAAAACATGTATTGTCTTGGACAGTTACAAACAGGAAAGAGAGGAAAGTGCTTTACACCAGTGGTAACAAAGTTCATTCTCTCATGGTGTTTCAGCTAGTGTTAAGACATAGGAGGGGGAGGGAAGAGAGAGACAGAGAGACAGAGACAGAGATAGAGAGACACACAGAGAGAGACAGAGACAGGATGGGTATAGAAGAATGATGAAATATAAGTAGACCAACAGATTAAGGGGAGGTGGAGAAAGAAGATACAGAAAGGAAAGATGTAGAAATCTCATCATCCTAATGCATTGTATTAGGCAGATATGCTTTTATTTAATCACATGTAAGAGCTTAAAAAATGTTCCTAGCCAAGGTAAGCTCGGTCTCCTAATACTGTTGTTCATTCCATGCAGCAGTTTGCCACACTCCAAAACTGCTGTGATGGGTTTTGGAAGGGCAGTTAATTCCTTAGAATATGTTTAATGCTGAGCAGATTTGAGTACTGAGAGATCAAAATGCTTCACTTTGAAAAACAAGTTTGATAAATACATAAGTAGTCAATAGTTTAGAAACCACCAAACCTGTACAATTTCTTAAGAAGTCACACTTTGAAATCAGAACATTATCTTACAATTCATGTTTTGACTTAAATATTCCAGTATAATAGACTCTGGCTGTAATTATTTCTAAATTGCAATTCTTGGTGTGAAAAATCTATTTTCTTTTAAGATATCAGTTGGTATATTCATATTTGAGGAAACAAACCCATAGATCTATTATTGAAATAACTCGTTATAAAAAAATGAAAAAGAGTTGGTCAAAAACATGTGCCTCACAGTTATGGTCCAACAAAACAAGCCCCAGGCAATAGATTCTTGCAAGATGGGGGGGGGGGGCGGGGTGAGACCAAAGGGAGAGGGGTAGACGGATGAAGAGGAAAGTGGGAAATAATTCATGGTACATACCACAAAAATGAGAAAAGTAAAAGAAGGGGCAGGTTGAAGAGGGGTGAGCATGATGCATGGGGTAACACAGGTCAGCTGCTTTGTTAAATGGGACCTCCTTTGTACAATTACTTAAAGATAATAATAATAATAATACACGTCTCTAATGGACAATGCCATTGCAGGTCTTTGTAGATGGAAACAACCTTATTCGTAACTTCTTATTCAGCTAGGAGGTTACTTATATTCCATAGGTTACATCTAATGGTCTCCTAATCATATTCTAGATAAATTTTCTTATAGGTTCAATTTTCTTTGATTAGATGATTATAACGCAACCACAGCACTTCATTGTGTTTCTCCTAGGGTTTCAGAACAACTAGATTAAGAATATGAAAATATGCTTAAGCATATGCTTGAGTCAGTATGAAGTTATCATCATGGAGTAAAGAAATACATACTATGTTGTGGAAACAAAGACATGAGTTCAACAAGAGGAACAATTTTAATAGTTATATTTGATGCCATATAAAAAATATAACTATCAGAAACACTCTAACATTGCAAGAGATGTGAAGAGTGCTGTTTCTTGAGGCATACTGAGGGAAAAACACTCCTATCACTTGATGCTATTTAAAGCATAAAGGGGTACCATTTTCTCTTTGAATCTAATTTGATACTTTGTTCTCAGCCCTAGTTCCTGTCCTATAAACAGTCTACAGCCACTCTCCAATGAAAAATGATACCCCGCCAAACCATCGTGTTGACTCTCTTACCTTATTTTTTCTCTTGCGTCGAAATCGCAGGAGCTCTTTGTGCTGCCTTGAGACAAAGTTCACAGCTGCATATTCCAGAAGTGCTGAAAACACGAAAAGGAGGCAAACTGCCATCCAGATGTCGATAGCTTTGACATAGGAAACCTAGCTCAGAGAGAAGATAGAGGGAGACAATGACTCACATTGTTATTTCCTTTGGGAACAAAATTGCGTTTACAACGATGAAAGCAAGGCTATTTTTCCCCTTAACAACTTTTTATTTCTGGGAATTATAAGGATTAGTCAAACTTTTAAGACTTTTTTATATTTTGTTATTGTTTTTCAAAGGAGACACTAACTCAGAGATGAAACACAAGCTAAAAATAGAATTTTACTCGTTTTTTTTGAGGAGAAAGCAAAAGGGAGGGGGAAGAGTGAGATAGAACAATCATCATCTTCAATGCACATTATGCAAAAATCAAACTACATAACTTGAGAGGAGGCATGGAAGGAGGAAAGTTAGGGGAGATTGATGAAAGGGATGACATAAATCAAGAAACATTGGGCTGGGAAGGTAGCTCAGTGGTAGAGTTCTTGCCTTGCATGTCTGAGGCCCTGGGTTCGATTCCTCAGCACTACATAAGCAAAAAGAAAAAAGCCAAAAAGGCGCTGTGGTTCAAGTGGTAGAGTGCTAGCCTTGAGCTGAAGAGCTGAGGGACAGCACCCAGGCCCAGAGTTCAGGCCCCACGACCAGACACCCCCCCCCAAAAAAAGAAACATTATACTCATAACCTGACTTATGGAATTGTAAGGTCTTTGTAAACTCTTTATATTATTACTTAGTCATGAACTCATATATACATACATCTATATTTAATTTTACTTTTAAAAAGGATTTTTGTTTTATTTTCCATTAATTTTTAATTTAAATACTTGTAGTTTATAATTTTATTTATCCATTTGATGAAGATAATTTTATTTCAGTGAATTTAAAATGAATAGTCATTGTTATTTGTTATCTACTGAGGTATTTAGACACGTTTAGAAGAATGGGAATTGAATTCCCAAGCTGCTCAGTCATTACTATCTTACTGCAAATATCATGACGTATTTGTATAGGTATATGTACATATATATGTATATGTGTGTAAAAATTGAACTATATAACTTGACAACAAGGATAGGAGAGCAAAAAATTTATATAATATATATAGTCCTACAGGTATGTATACCACTGCTGAGCATTGCAAGAATAATTTCCAGACATGGTATCATTTTTTCAATAAAATCTGGAATTTAACATTGGATATATCTTTCCATTTAATCCTAACATCTCATTCCTATTTTATCATTTTCCCTAAGAATGACAATTTTTATTCAAAACTACTTAAAAAAAAATCCATCCCAGGTCTTAATGTAGGGTTATATTTGCAATTTGGTATTATATCTTTTCAGTCTTCATTCTGTGGAATCTTTGCCCAGTCTTTCCTTATTTTTAGTGACATTAGTGTTTTTGCCATCTGTTTTTAGTAAGAATTCCCCACGAGTTCCCTTTTCTTCACAATGTATTAGAGCAGGACACATAAAATGTCCATCCATTGGTTAAAATGATGGCCACCAGGTTTCAGTATAGTTATTAAGTGTCTCATGTGTAGATTTTGGTATCTTGTTATAGAACACCAATGAAACTAAGGCAGAGAGAATCAAATTACATGTCATGTGCTTAGATCCCCTTCACTTCCTAGTTAACCCTTTTTTCCCCTCTCCCTTTTCTGTTGTTGATCCTTTCCCACAAAGTCACCCTTCTACATTTATGTTCTATTACCATTACTAGTATCATCATCATCATCATCATCATCATCATCATCTTCATCAATCACCATCACCGTGCTTCTTGTACAGTGATTTGCTTGACACAAAGTGTCAACTTACTTATGAAACACTTTAACAAAGAAAATTCTTTCATTGTCTCCTTTGGTACCGGAAATTGAACCCAAGGCCTCAAGTTTGCTAGTCAGGAGCCCTACTGCTTAATCATGTCTCCAACTTCTTCTTGCTTAAGTTATTTTTGAGGTAGTGTTTACAGGGCCAGCCTGAGCTGCTGTGTTCCCTTGTGTTGCTGAGAATTGTGGGCATACAGCATTGTCCCCAGACATTGTGTTCCTCACTAGAGCTGGAATGACAGGGACACCCTGGGCCCAAACATTGGTTGGAATAGAATCTCAACTTGTCTTTGTCTAGGCTAGGATCTAGATTCCCTAATTTCTATCTTTCTGTTCACTAAGATTACAGATTTGTGCCACTATGCTTGGCTGCTCCTCTTCTGTCTTATTCTAGTGCTGTGTTAAATGTGCATCTGTTTGCAAAGGATGAATGCAAATTTCTTCAGTTTTGTCAGAAATTGACATGGGTTTGCAAATACATGCTGTCTCATATGAATTCAGCCTTCAAGCATCAAGCCACACCATTCCTAGGAGACTATGATTCATAAAGCAAATGCTCATTCTTTTTTGCTTGTCATGGAGCTTGAACTCAGGGTCTGGACACTGTCTCTGAGCTTCTTGCTCAAGGCTAGTGCTCTACCACATGAGCCACAGCTCCACTTCAGGCTTTTTCCTGTTTATGTGGTACTGAGGAATCAAACCTGGGACTTCATGCATGCTAGGCAAACACTCTACCATTGAGCCACATTCCCAGTCCCAACATCCTGAATCTATAATGACATGGGCCACAGAAATGAAATCACCATTACAATTTGCAAATTCAACAAATGTGTGCCATGATTAAAAGCACCTACCAGGAAGCAACTAAGCACGAATATCTCTTGAGTAGTAGGACATCTTAAAGATCTACATTTCTTCTATGCGTGATTTTTTTTTTTTTTTTTTACCAGATTTTAGATGTTTTCTCCATTGGCAACACGCTACTTTTAAAATAAGTCATGAAGAATTGATGCTACTGAAATGTACGTGACAAGCCTGGTAATGATAACTTTCTGAACACCTGAGCTGCTATGTATATGTTCCTCCTATGCATTTACCTTTGGTAAGGAAGCCCGTGATCCTGAACTCTGGGTGGTCATGGTCAGCACGGTGGTTATTCCCAAAGCCACCCTGGCTGGGGCTGCGTCCATGTTGATCCAGAAGGAAACCCAGGATAGAATGACAATCAGGAGACTTGGAATGTACATCTGGATGAGGTAGTAACCCATCTGTCGTTCCAGATGGAATCGCACTTCTATACATGTGAACTTTCCTAATCGATGTAAAAGAAGGCCTCAATGAGGGAAAAGCAGGTCTTGTTATAGCACCGAACAGCACAAGTTCATTTGTATTGTTGAAAAAATTCTTTTTCTCTAAAACAGAGATCCTCCCAAGCATGTATTCAAATTTGTTAATGGTTTTAAAAGTTTCTTTTCGTTAGCATCTAGAAGAACGTAATAATGTATATTGATACATATACACATATACCTATATATGCAAAAAACTGTAATATCATTAAATGCCTATACTCAAAGATCCAGTTTTTCCACGTTTCTAACAATTGCTTCTGAAGTAGACAGGGGATTGCATATTTATAATACAAAAATCTTATTTACTAATTTCTGGTGTTTCTACATGCACCAGACAAATACCTTCAGCATTTATTTCAGAAATCTTTACATTTGCTTTAAAATTCTAAGGGATAAGTACAATTGAGTAAGGAATTCTTAAACAATAATACAAGCAAAAGGAGATGTGTCTTATTACACATTAATTCTATTTAACATATATGTGCTCGTGTGTCTCATTATCTTTTTGTTAATTATGTTAAATAAAAAGAGTAAATTATAAATATTAAATTGACATTTTGATCATCTCCTTTCACCTTACCTTATAATCTATATTCCATTATTACCTCCCCTTAAAGCAACTATTCTCTACATAATCAAATTCTTGGCTTATTCTCTTTTTGGGGTAGTCATTTTGAGAAAGATGAAATCAGAGGTTTGTAAGTAATGTTGCCTGGTCCCACCAGAAAAGAAAATTGTCAAAGAGCTTGTCCAGGAAAATTGCTGTTGTGTTGCTAGGTAGACTTTGGTGTGAATCTTCTATTCATATGACTTGGATCTAACATAATGGCACTGAGTCAAGGTAGATGATATATATATGATATGATATATATATGATTCCAAGATGAGTGTTAAAAATCTTAACAAAGCTTCACGAGCCCAGGGAATGGTAGCTTCCATTGTTATTATCTATATATTTGTCTGTCTGTCTGTCTGTCTATCTATCTATCTGTTTATCTTTGTTCCTTACTAGGACTTGAACTCATGTCCTAAGAATGGTCCCTTAGCTTTTTTTGCTTAATGTTGTTTTGGGGGGAGGAGGAAGCATAGTTAATTGGTAGTTTAAGGTCTCTTATTGGAGATCTCAGTCTCCTGAGTAGCTAGGATTACAGGCAGGAGCCACTGGCATCCAGCTTTAAACATATTTTTTAAAGTACATTGCTGGGAAGGAAAAACACATGCAGTTATATACCATTATTCATATGTGTGTGTGCATGTGGATGTTCCCGTGTCTTGTATATCCGTGTATGTGTGTAGTATTATTATGTGTGGTTCTGAAGAGAAAAGTAAATAAATTGGACTCCCTCTCTTTAAATCAATGACCTACTTATCATGGCAAGAGACTACCAGTTAAGAAGAAGAAAGATTTTGGAGAGATTATCAGGAGGCAGATAAAGTAGCTTTGAAATACATAACTGAAAAAGATGTTTCGAATGATAAATTAACTGAACAAAGATTTTGTTTGTATGGGAAATTTTAACTTCAAGGAAACAGAAGGAAAGGGTTTATTTTTATAAGTATGGTTCATATATATACATATAAATATCCTGATATTTTTTGGGGGGGGGTTGTGTATGTATAAGGAACCTGACAACTATGTGATATCTGGGCCTATTATTAGAAAATAATTAACAGATGATTCCCTTGTGTTATAGAAGCTTTTTGTAGGAGGCAAATTAACCATGTACTTGCTTGAGCAAAGTACCAAATAATCTTACATAAACGGGACTGGTCATTGTATTTTGAACTCCTATTCTGTTTGTCCAGTTTTGCTTATGGTAAATATTCATAAGCATAAGCTCATTCTTCTAAGCTGAAATAAGGAAGCACATAGATTTACTTTATGCTGATACAGGGTTTTGAGACCCTGTAAAACCAAAATTCATTCCGAAGTGAGGGTTCCACCTTCACCTATTGTTCTAGATTGTGTGTATCTACCTAAAATTTATGTCTCCCTGTAATCTGAGAATAGGGCCTTATTTGGAAATGATGTAGGTTATTTTTTTCTGTAGATGAAATGAAGTTAAAGCCTTAATCTAATATTACTGGTGTCCTCCTAAAAGGGAAGACTGGCTTCAGAGAAATACACTACAGAGCATCATCCTACTCAGGAGGCAGAGACTAAACTGAGGTATGTAAAAGCCAAGGATTTCAAAGAAATAGAAAGCTAGGAGAAGGGAGAAAACATTTTTTCCTTGCATCTCTACAGAATATACTGCTCTGCTGAATGTCTGATATAAGATTTGTAGCCTCCAGAACTATGCAAGCATACATTTCTATTGGTTTAAATCTCTAAATTTGTGATTGTTGGTTATGACATTTCTAAGAAACTAATATGTCCCTTAGCTCAGATGTAGAGATTTCATTCAGCTTTTCCTTAAAATAGAGTTTATTAATCCAACTGATTATAGAGGGCTGAGAAAAAAATACAGCTGTTGACTTGCCTGACCTTTATCTTTGTATTGAGATACTTAACTTTGAACCCCTTCATAAGACAGATAAATCCTCTCTTCAGGGTGGTAAAAATGACAATGATGTTTGGATCTGAAATGGTGAATTAGGGAAAGAATGACTAACAACTCAAGACCTGGTATCGGGAAAGGTCAGATTGCAGTTCTGAAAAAGTGCAAGAGGCCAGGCTAAAGCAGTTTCCTGTCATGAAATGGTAAGAGCAGCAGTCGATGCAGTGACAGACCAGGCCCTCACTGCACTGGAGAGCTATTTCAATAATGTACTGCTTAATGGAATGCATAGGAATAGGTTATAGAGCCAACACAGGCATTGTGGGAATAGCATATATTAGTTAAGAGAAGTGACTGAATTTCATGCTTGGAAAAATATCTCACTGAATCTCTTAATGCATGGTGTTTGCAACAATGCCTGATGAGCACTCAGAGCACAGGGCTCCTGTGTCAGTCTGAACAGTAGGCGCTTAGACAAAAATGTTCTGAAATACATGAAAATAGGACCTAAAGGAAAATTCAGGCAAATGAACACAAAAAAACAAAGATTTTTTTAAAAAATGTTGTTAGCATATAGCGTTTACTGCCTAAGAATGGTTAAATGTATTTTTCATAGAAACAAAAAGGAACATTTTTAGAAAAATTACTATTCCATAAATGTGGGCCTTTCACAAATATATGCCAATATAATTAAATTTCCAAGCATTTCCAAGTGCCCATATAAAGTAATTATATAACAGTACACAACGAGTCAAAGCATCCATATGATCAAATCCATCTGGTTTCCTTTTTATTTGGGAAACACTGAGTTACACTTAATTATTAACCTAGATTTGCAGTTAAGAAGCATTTGACTATCATAAAATTACAGTCATTAAGTGTAAGTAAGCATAATGTCACTTCTACCTGTATTATAATGTTTAGTGCAGTATCGTAAATCTTTTTCTTCTTTCAACAGAAATTGGGGCAAAGTGAGTCCTTCTGCAACCTGTACGGGTGCTTCATCTTGCCATTCAAAAATGAGATCATTCATTGTGTACCCAACTAGGCAAAACATTATAAAAATATTTATAGCCAAAATAAAAGACAGCCAAAGAAAAACAATAAAAAACACAGTTGTACAGTCACGTAAGACCAAAGAGTATCAGTTTAACACGATATTTTACCTGATTCCAATCCACACAAGTCTGTACTTTTGGAAAACTCACTGAATAATGTAAGAAATGAAGAAGGCTCATAAAAATATAACATGGCAGGCACAAACATTAAGCTACCAGATTAATTCAGAAATTTCCATATATTTCCACTCTATTAGTTTTCCCTTCCCCCTTCTCTCAAGTTATTCATGACTCCTTCAACAAAAACCAGATACTGTCACTGCTCAGAAAATGACGTAAACTATAATAACCTAGTTGGAGGAGTTACTACTGCCAGATATGTTTCTTGATTTAATTGTTAACTTTTTTATCTTGTATAGTATCTATTTCAATTTTCCATGCTTCAATCAAACACAAAAAATGATATTTTATATAAAAGTGTCTTCTACTTAAGGAATAGTACAAAGAATATCCACATGAAATCATTTATAAAAGAGCAAAGCCTTGCATAGAATTAACTAGTTGATTTGGCATTATGATTGTGTCAGTAAGTAATTAAGGTATCCATTATAAATAGTATTTTATCTGGAGATGTACATTTCTCAATGACCTAGAGACAGTAAAAGAGGAATTCATTCTTAACTGCTGCCAAGTAAGGCACACATCTTATTCCTCATAGAACAAGGTGAGATTTCATTCCAATTTAAACAGATGAATGGAAAATTGAGCTAAACCATCATCTAATTTTGACCTGCTATGTTTTTCAAAAGCTTTCCTGTGAAAAGAAACTGGTTCTCTGAAATTTATAGAAGCACAATTTATAGAAGTGCAAGTAACTTGTTCTTAGGTTAAGTAAACATTGGCATTAAGTGATTTAAGAGTGGGAATTGGATAATCTATTCTACTTCAATATAATCCATAAAACATTAAGTCAAAATCAGAAGGAAAACATTGAGATGATCAAGCTTAAAGAGTTTGCTTTGCTTTGAGTAATTTACTGGATATGTCAGGAAACTAAATCCATGGTATTATAGCCTCAACATACCTTCATACAAAACGTGAATCCATTTTCTTCTATACATTTCAACTGTTTTTTTTTTTTTATCTTGTGCTTTCAGTCAATAGATTTCAGAGAAGTCTGAGAATATTAAGTGGAATATATTGGTTGTTCAGATCACAGTGAATTTAAATGCTTTGTTCCCAAATAAGTCTCATAATGAAAAAAGAATTTATTCAGGGAACAAAGACATTAACCCCAACTTTATCCAGCAGTCTCATATAGTAGCTGTGGTAAAATCTGTAAACAAGTTACTCTTACTTGTTACTTTAACAAGTATTTCTTGAACACCAACCATATGTAAGGTCCCTTGAGTTGGAATTTGAAAACTAGGCAGGGGCTACCCATCAACAATTTGAAAGATGCAAAAACTGGAATTTGTAGAAAAAATTTAACAAGAGCTTCAATGGTCAAGAACTAGTTCGCCTAGAGAACACATGAATGTACAGAAACATTAATAGAAGCTTGTGCAAAGTTCAAATTCCAGGTTGCAAAGTTTGACTTAAAATTCTCCATGGGAAATAATGGCAAAGTGAAGCGAGAGACATCACAAGAATTATAGTTGGGAAATATTCCCCTATCATGATCTTTCCATGGAATTCACAAGGTCAGAAGCACATTCATAGTCATAATAAGACAGTATTTTCCTTTTGCATTGTTTCCGCATTTACTCTGATGTTGAAATAACAATGGTGGGTAAAAATTCTAGCACTTTAGTGGCACCAGACTAGGCTGCAAGTTATTTGTAGTCTTTCCTGCTATACCCCTTGATAAAAAATTTTTTAAAAAAACAACACAATGCCACTTTTATGGGAGAATGTTCTTGATCCTTGAATAGTCACAAGTATTAATTTTATTAAATCTTGCTCCTAGGTAATATCATCTTTTTAATATCCTACATGAGAAATGGTCATCTGCCTAAATCACTCAGCTGTGTAATGTAATGTGATAATTTTTTAAGGGGAAAACACTGGTGTGATGGGGTTGCAAACAAATAAGGTATTTGTTATCAAACATCACTTCTATTTTACAAACAAAATAGCTTGAAACTAGTTGTTATGCTTAGGTATCTGATAGACCATTTTCCTGAATGTGAACCTCCATGTCAAGAAAAATAGCAAATATTTGCTATTGATAATAGATTTTGACTTCTTAATGCAGAAATAAATGGTTTCAGTCTTTGGAAGGTGTGTATTTTGAAAACTCAAGAAAAGAGTATTTTCCAAATAACCAAAAACTGATATTAAAAACATGCATAGGTAAGAAAAATCTACTCTATGGATAAACTAGAAAAATGGGTTTTAATTTGAATATGAAGTGTTTATTTAATATGATTTCCAGTTTCACATTGCCAATAACTCTTAAGCATTACCTTCAGAATCAATTTCTTTTTTTCCTTCCTGAGTAGATAAAACAAAACAAAACAGCAACAAAACTTCTGCTGGCCTATCAGGAATATAATAGAGAAATGAATTTTAGCCTATCATTTAACCAAAAGTATATATGTATATATGTGTGTATATATATATAAATTTTAGGAGATGTTAAGTTTCTAATCCATTACTGACAGACCATGATGTCAGTATATTAATATCTCACATCTCTGACCATCCAATGAAAATGAAACATTTTTCCCATTATCTTAAAAGGCCTCTTTATTTTCTTCATAGTACTTATCTTTGTTCTAGGACTTACCCTGACTATATTCATCCATAGAATTTATCCTGACTTTTGATGTATTTATCGAGCTTTTATTTTGTTTTCTTTCTTCCTGCCTTTTATAACTTAAACTTTATCAAAGTGACATTCTTTTATGGAGATTTAATCCTTGGTATATTTTCTCATTCCTAAGTAATTTGGGGGCACAGAACAGGTATTTGAATGTGTGAAATAGAAAGATCAAATGGGAGTTAGCTGAGGCAGCACATAACTATAATCTCAGCATTTTGGGAGGAGACCAGATCTTGTCTCACATGAAAGAAAAGAGAAGATATAAAAAAGAAAATCAACATAATGACTTATACATCTCATTGTTGCAATGGTCCACCTGTATCCCTATTTAAACGATTGTTTTTCCCCTTCCCCTCCACAAATTATACCGACATCAAATACAGTGAAAGCAGGGGTTATACTGTGGGGGAGGGACATACAAAGCAACAAAGAAATAATCTTATAACGAACTTTACAACTTTGGTGGGGGGGGGGAGGATTGGGTGGGGAGATAAGGGGAAGGGGAAGATGGGATGGGAAGGGGAAACAAAGGAGGAGGCTACAATGCTTGATAAGAAATGTACTCATTATCTTGCCCATGTACTTGTAACCCCTCTGTACAGTATTTTCACAATTTAAAAAAAAGAAGAAAATCAAATAGAAGGAAGTGGTAAAAGAGTATGTGTTTGTGTGTGTGTGTGTGTGGGTGTGTGTTGGTGAAGTTTAGAACTGGAGAAGATAATAATAATAACAACAACAATAATAAATGGCTTGGGAGTCTACAGACCATAGTTGAGATTACTAATCATCTGAGCATCACATCAGAGACAATTTTACTGTGAACTTAAAACTGTTCCAAAAGGAGGAAAAGTCTTTATTGTAAAAAAGGAAATGATCCATAAAGACACAAAAAGATACAGAAGATGCTCATGTGCAATATACCAAGTGAATGACACCAATGAGAAAGACTATATGTTGTATGTTTCCAACTATGACAAACTGAAAATGGCACAATTAGGGAGATGGCAAAAACATCAGTGATTGACAGGGATCAGAGAGAGGGAGGAATAAGTAGATAAGTCTTGTGGGAGTTTTAGAATGTTGAAGCAATTTTTTACTTGATAATAGTGCTTCTGTCTATCTATCTATGTATCTATCTATCTATCTATCTATCTATCTATCTACCTATCTATCTGTCTATCCATCACATTGTATGACATTTACCAAAAGCCACAGAATGTGTAACATCAAGTTTACTGTAGTGGAAGCTATGGATTTTGATGATGATGGTGTCTCAGTGTGGCAGGTTCAATACTTTCTCTGAGCAATATTGAAGGACCAGGTAGCAAATAAAGAATTCATAGTTCTTGCTCAATTTTTCTGTGGCCATAAAACTGCTCTAAAATACCAAGTCTGTCTTTTGGAAAAAAAATCTAATGAAAACATTTACATCTGGCCAAATTAGAACAAAGTTATGAAATGTTTTCCATAATTAGTCAAATGGATAAAATGTATTAATTAATTCAATAAATAGAGTGCCTACTCTGCAGTGAGCATCTTTGCAAGTTGCTGCAACTATGAAAGGATTCCATGAACTTTTTGTTGTTGTTGGTCGTGGAGCTTGACCTCTGAGCCTGGGAGCTGTCCCTGAGCTCCTCAGCTCAAGGAGATCAATCTACCACTTGAGCCACAGCACCACTTCCCATTTTCTGATGGTTAATTAGAGATAAGAGTCTCATGGACTTTTCTGCCCAGGCTGGCTTTGAACTGTGATCCTCAGATCTCAGCCTCCTGAGTAGCTAGGATTACAGGCGTGAGCCACCCCTGCTTGGCAAACTTTTTTACTAATTTAGATATAGCAGGGTTAAAAGAACTGTACTACATTTAGACATGAAAACCAGTTACATCCACTTTCATTGGGTTATAACTTTTTATATTGCTATGTTCCTTCTATTCTAATTGAGGTGGACTTGAGGGAAATGAACTCCTTAATTTACCAGTTACAGATGACTGAATCTAAGGAAAGGTGTTCAAAATTTTGGAATTCTCTTTATTCATTTCTCCTAGTCAAGAAGAGTTTTTTTTTCAATTAAAATAGAATTCACTTAGCCCAGTTAAAGGGCAGTCTCAACAAGTACAAATTCAGCAACGACAATTGTAATTGTAAAGATGCTTCTAAA